AACTGGTTTGAATCAGTTTGAAGCTGTTTCTCTGGAATCTTTCAATTTCTCTTTTATTTCATACTTTCTCACTAGTTTGTCTCCAAAGGGTAAAAGTTCTTTTGTATATATGATAATTCCCTGAATTAAAACTATCCCAAGGCTGACATTTTGGATTCCACCAATTATTAAGCCCCTTCTCATAGTCAGTACTAAAACCTGCCAAGAACTTTGGTATTAATTTTTCACTCTCATTTTCTCAGTGTAATTTTGCTTATATCCTCATCAAATCCTCAACAACCCTTTATTTTTTCTTCTGGAGTTGTTGAAGCTGGCTTCACATAAGGAATGTCATTTAAGATTTTTTTAAAACTCCTCCTGACCCTTCCCCTGCCTATATTCTTGGGATGTACTGTGTGGCTAGAATGTCCTTCCAAATATACTATGTGATCAGAATGTCCCTCACAATCTCGACAGTTCCCGGAATGTGCCCCACTCAATATCTGTAAATGAAAGCTGGTTTGGGCTTCGGTGGAACGCTTGTACAGCTGTGTTGAAAAAAACCCAGACCTACCACTTAGTCATCCAGGCTTTGGTTTTTACCTTTATAAGCTGAGCCCTTACAGCAGTGAGGGGCTGCTGGAGTTTGAAAGACGTTTGGTCCTCCCGCAGCCACTGATTCCAGCTAATAAAGACTAAATTGGAACTTTGGGGGTTACAGTGGTTATTCAACCTGTTAGCTTACAACAGTCATTGACTCAGACTTAGATGCGGATATGAGAAAACAATGAACGCAAATTCTTTTTCCTGGACTTACAGTTTTCCTAGTCCAAAGGAGATCAATGGGTTTGGGATTCTGAAGCATGTCTAGAGCCTTAGTAGTTCTGTTGCATAAGCATTGGATTGTGAACCAAAAGGTCAGTAGTTCAAAACCCATCTCCAAGATGGGTTATCTGGTCCCATAAAAATCTTAGAAACCCTCTGTAGGGTGGCTATAACTTGGAGCTCACTTGGTGGCCATGGCTTTGGATTTTGTTTTAGGCTTGTTTTTGGAATGCATATTAGAGATAAGGAGAAAGAAAATAGTAATAGTCGATACATGTAATATCTATTTTTCATAACAAGGATGTTATATGGGATTGTATCAAATATTTTTCTGAAATTAAGTCTTTAAGTATGTTCAAGAGAAAGAAAATCATAGTTCTACCAAAAAACCCCCATGTATGTTCATAAAAGCATATTCACAGTAATCCAAATATGGAAATGACTCAAGTGTCCATCAAGTGATGAATGGCTAAACAAAATTATATATACCATATCATGGGATTTTATGCAATAATTAAGGAGGTATGCAGAATATCTTTAATAGAAAATTTTAAATATTTTAGTTCAAGAAGATGTGTGTGTGTGTCTCTCAATGTTTTGTTAATTGGTAGAAGGTTTATAGAGCTGCTCAGTTTTCCATTCAACAATTCATATACATTATGATTCACATAATTAATTACAATCTCCACAGTGTAACAGTCCTTTTCTCATTTCTTCCTGTGTATGCTCTCTCTGTTATTTCTTCTTTCTTAAACTTCTGAACTTTGTCTTTGAGTAAATGCTGCACTTTTGATCTAAAATAGTTGATTATTCTAGAGTGTGTACCTCTTTAGTGTTATTATTCCCCATCTAGGAGGAATTGCGCTGGGCGGAGCAGCTTTCAGAGTACTTTGTAGCATTTTTCTTGCTCAGCCAGCATTGAACAACTCGCTCCGAGTTAGTGCACCCAGTGGCTTTGCCTAGGAATTTTCTCTGTGGTCAGAGTGATTTTTTTTGTAAAAGCAGTTTCACTTGAGCCTTGTTTTTTGGTGACAGCTGATTTAAGAGAACAGTGTGCAGCTGTGACATTTTGATTCCTGCTCGGGAAAAATGCCACAGAAACTGTTGTGATGTTGAACATAGTTTACAAGGACAGCACTGTGGGATGAACTTAAGTGTATGAGTGAGTTTCTCCTTTCAAAAAAGGTAAAATGTTGATAGAGGACAAATCTCATTCTGGATGTCTATCAGTTTCCCGAGCGGATGTAAATGTTGACTGGTTTGGAGTTTGTTCTATCAGGTCAGAGTGTTAATCAAGCTTTCTATTTGGAGGTTCTGAAAAGATAGCGTAACAGCGTTCAACAAGAATGGCCTGATTTGTGGCAGACACAGGACTGGTTTTGCCACCACGACAGTGTACTTGCTCACACAGCCATCTCAGTGCTCCAGTTTTTGGCAAAAAACAGCATACCTCTCTTGCCCCATTCACCTTACTCACCTGACCTCGCTTCTTGCAACTTTTTGAAGAGGGACATGAAAGGACAGCAATTTGAGGAAATAGAAGAGGTGAAGAAAAAAACGAGGGAGGTGCTGTCAGCCATTCAAACAGATGTTTGAAAAAATGTTTCTAAGAAAGAAATCACAGATTTGACAAATGTAATAAATGTAATGGAGAGTACGTTGAAGGTGATAAGATTGTTTTGTAAAGAAAAAACGTTAAATACGTAGCTTAGAGGGGTGGTGTTCCAGGTTTTGTGGGTACCTCCTCACATATATGGATAAGTCAATTTAGGTTCATAATTATACTGGAGGACAGAGTAGAAATGTCCATTTGAGTTTCCAAGACTGTAAATCTTTACAGGAGCAGAAAGCTCCCTCTTAGCTGGTGGTCTCCGACTGTAGACCTTTGGCTAGCAGCCCCGCATGTAGCCACTGCGCCAACAGGGCTGCTTGTTCCTCTGACAGAACTGTCTGCTGTTTGGCTGAAAATTGAGCCAGGGAGGTAGGTCAGTTCATTTCCAGACCTTAAGGGTGACTTAAGGACATAGTCTCGGGGTTTTCTTGGGGTTCAGCAGTCTCCAGTTAACCAAAGACCTGGTATTTTAAAAAATGATTTTCAATTTTGTTCCATCTTCTCAAAACAGTTGGTAGTGGCATCTGAGCACCAGCTTAGTTCTTCTGGTATCAGGGCCGTGGAGACTGATGTCTGTGTCCATTAGTCCATTATTTCCACACGCCTTCAGTGTTCTCTTCTCGTCTTTGTCACAGAGAGACCAATAGGTGCACTAGGTGGCCACTCAGGAGCTTTTAAGATCCCAGTTGCTACTACCAAAGTAGGATATAGGCCATTGTCTTTGTGAACTGTTTTGCCAATTAACCTTGGTGTTCCCTAAGATCATGGTCCTGATTTCTCAGACCCAGCAACTCAAGGAATGCAATATTGATAAATGGTACAACATGGATGAACCTTGAAAACATTATGGCAGGTGAAAGAAGCCAATTGCTAACACATTTTGTAAGATTCTATTAATATAAAATATCTATAATAGGCAAATTTATAGAGACAGACACTTATGTTAGTGGTGGCTGCTATGTGGTGAGAATGGGCAAGTTACTGCTTAGTGGGCACAGTGTTTCTTTTTGGAATGGTGAAAATATTCTAAACAGATTATGGTAATGGTGACAGCACAACTCTGAATATTCTAAAAACCTTGAATTTCACATTTTAAAAGGGTGAATCTATGGTTATATGAATTACGTTTCTATGAAGATGCTACAGTCAAAGAGAAAATCTAAATACTTGCTATCAGAATTTATAAGAATGTATGTGAATGTGTGTGTCTGTTGTATGTGTAAAATATTAATTGAGCCAAACTTGTCAGATTTTTGTCATTATGTAAGTTGTAATAGGGTTTATATACTTGGTAGAAAATCATTTGTATGAATGTATGTGGAGAATATGTTTTAATCTAATGTATGTTGACAGGTCGTTTTAGGTATATTCTAAATTTATTGAGAGGTTTGTTTTTTGTGATAATTTTTAATTATGTCTAGTGTTTTAAGTTCTGGAGTCACAAAGATTCCTTTTACTTTTTATGATTGTCAGAAACATTTACTAGTAACATTAATATTTTAGTTTAGTTTTTACCTTTACACCTAAGAAACCAATGATGTGAAAAATCTTTGACTATGGTACATTTTTATACCGCCTCTTCAAGTATGTTGGCATAGATGTGGGTCTGTTTTATGTCGTTTTCCCTTCGCTGATTATTCATGGTCCTCCCTACCAAAATAAAAATAATAATTTTTTTTTGTTACCCAAGTGTTTTGTTTTTGTTTTTTAAATCGTTTTATGGGGGCTCATACAACTCTTATCACAATCCACACATACATCAATTGTGTAAAGCACACTTATACATTCGTTGCCTTCATCATTCTCAAAACTCGCTTTCCGCTTAGGTTCCTGGAATCAGCTCCTCAGTTTCCTCCTCCCCC